TCACTGTGTTAGCCAGGATGGTCTCGATCTCCTGGCCTCGTGATCCGCCCGTCTCGGCCTCCCAAAGTGCTGGGATTACAGGCTTGAGCCACCACACCCGGCCAGTTTTTTAAATATTAAAAAAGAAAACATCACTGTTTTCTAGAAGGAAATCAACTTGAATTTTGAGTAGATAATCCCGTTTATGAATTAGAATTCAATCTTGTCTGCGCTTCTCAGGACTCTGTTAAACTCTTAACAGATAGTTTTGTAAGAGTATTGAGTTAGGAAAGTCCTAGAATTTATCCTATACAAGCTTTGATGTTTTCAATAAATTGTATATGGAGGACTAAAAATAAAGGTAGGAAAATTTAGATACTTTCCCAGAAACTTTTTACTTTTTTAGTAATTTTAAAATATTACTAATTTTATAATCTGTATATATTCATTATTTAGGATCACAAATGTTTATGTAGCATACCCATTTACCTGCATATCATTTCATACCAGCAAACTAATAGGAAAAATCTTCTATTTCGCTAAATTTGCTAATTTTGCTAAATTTGCGAGTGATCTTCTATTAAGTAGACTCCATAGAGCAGTGGAGAATAAAATTAGAAAAAACGACCAGGCATGGTGGCTCACACCTGTAATTCCAGCACTTTGGGAGGCTGAGGCAGGCAGATCACTTGAGGTCAGGAGTTCAAGACCAGCCTGGCCAACGTGGTGAAACCCTGTCTACTAAAATTACAAAAATTAGCTGGGCATGGTGGCGCATGCCTGTAATCTTGACTACTCGGGAGGCTGAGGTGAGAGAATCACTTGAGCCTGGAGGGCAGAGGTTGAAGTGAGCTGAGATCGCGCCACTCTAGCCTGGATGATAGACTGAGACTCTGTCTCCAAAAAAAAAAAAAAAAAGAACTAGTTGGTGATTCATTCATCTTTTAAAAATTCAGTTAATGCCTATTTATTGAGTATTTATTATACCCCAGGACTAATGGGATAGTGAGAGGTAGTCATAGATTATTTATGATAAAGGAGAATTTAGGCTGGGTGCAGTGGCTTACACCTGTAATCCCGTACTTTGGGAGGCTGAGACTGGCGGATCACCTTAGGTCAGGAGTTCGCCACCAGCCTGGCCAACATGGCAAAACACCATCTCTACTAAAAATACACAAATTAGCCGGGCATGGTGGTACATGCCTGTAATCCCAGCTACTCGGGAGGCTGAGACAGGAGAATCTCTTGAACCCAGGAGGTGGAGGTTGCAGTGACCCTAGATTGCGCCACTGCACTCCAGCCTGGGCAACAGAGTGAGACTCCGTGTAAAAAAAACAAACAAACAAAAAAACAACTTCAAACTGAAGAATGATTAGCTAAAAACTGAGTATGGTAGAAAAGGAGCCAAAATCAGAACAAACTACAAAGAATGTTTCTTTAAAAGTAAGAATGGTACCATTTTTGAAAGGTTTAGGCCTCTGTTTCTGTCTATTCACATGCCTTTTTCTTTAGGGACCTCCCGAATTCCCTGGTAACAGTGTTCATTCTCTTCACCTTGGATCATTGGTATGCACTGCTTCAGGATGTCTGGAAGGTGCGTGAAGTCAGTCGCCTCTTCAGCAGCATCTATTTCATCCTTTGGTTGTTGCTTGGCTCCATTATCTTTCGGAGTATCATAGTAGCCATGATGGGTAAGCATAGAGGAGGTGAAACTTGTTTGGGAAGGGTGGTTGGGAAGAAATTAGTCTGAAAGCTGGGATTGGTGGCTTATGGGTATAAAGAACCTAGTGTAGCAGGAAGGCTTGGGTTCTGGATGGGATATTTCACTTGGATTCTCCCCACCCAAGCCCTCTTCCCAGGTCTAGTCATTAACATCTCCCAACTCCTAATGGCCCTTTGGGGCAGTTACTAACTTTCAGAGTATCAGGAAAGAGATGAATGAGGAGATGGCACTTCAGGAGGTTCAGCTGAAAGCTGACATGTTCAAGCGGCAGATCATCCAGAGGTCTGCTTCTCCCTTTTCAACCCCAACTTTCCTTCTCAAGGGTTTCCTGAGCTCATTTCTTGTTTCTGCTCAACCCCACTTTTCCCTTTGTGACAGAAGATTTGCCTTCAAGGATAAGAATTCTCTGGCTCTAGAATATTGCCTGATTTTTCATCCACTGTGGGGAGCCCTCCATTTATTTTCACCTCTTGACTACAATTTGTTCTCCCCAGTTAGTTTTCTTCACTTTCTGATATGAACTCTTTTTTTCTTACCACACTTTTACTTGAATGTAACTGTCTTTGCTCTTTTTTTTTTTTTTTTTTCTGCTTTGCAGGAGAAAAAACGTGTCACAGGAGGCACTGAAGTCAAGCCATAGCAAAATAGATGACAGGTTAGGAGTATGTACGTGAACTGGGATAGAAACACATGAAGGAAGAGAGGGTGGAAAACTAAAGATGAAGATTGACTTTGAGAGAGAATTCATTCATTTAATAACTGCATATTGTAGTAGGTTGACTAGTGGCACCCAAAATAATATGTCCATGTCCTTACTCCCTGGAACCTGTGAATGTGACCTTACTTGGAAAAAAAAAGATCCTAGGTTAAGGATCTTGAGATGAGATCATCCTAGATTATCCGGGTAGGTCCTAAATCCAATGGCAAGGGTACTTATAAGAGATGAAAGAGGAGAAGACACAGAGAATAGGAGAAGGCTATGTGAAGGTGGAGATAGAGGTTGGGGCTAAAGCCACCACAAGCCAAGGGAGGCTGAGGAATGCCAGGCAGCTGCTAGAAGGTAGAAGAGGCAAGGAACTTCTCCCCTAAAGTCTCCGGAGGGTGTATGGCCCTGCCAACACCTTCATTTCAGACTCTGGCCTCTAGAATTGTGAGGGACTATATTTCTGTCATTTTAAGATACCAAGTTTATAGTAATTTGTTATGGCAGCCTCAGGACACTAATACAGATACCTTCAATGAAACAAATATGAATCTAGACCCCAAGTGTTTAGCAGTGGACAAAGAAAGCAGAAGCAGAAATGAACTCATTCACTCATTAACAAATAATTACTGGCTAGATGTGGTGGCTTATACTTATAATCCCAACACTGTGAGAGGCCAAGGCAAGAGGATTGCTGGAAGTTCAAGCCAGAAGTTCAAGGCTGCATTGAGACATGATTGCACCACTGTAGTCCAGCGTGGGCAACAGAGCAAGATCCCGTCTCAAAAATTTAGCAGGGTGGGCGCAGTGGCTCATGCCTTTAATACCAGCATTTTGGAAAACTGAGGTGGTGGGATCACTTGAGCTCAGGAGTTCAAGACTAACCTAGGCAATATGGCAAAATTCTGCCTCTACAAACAAAAATTAGCTGGATGTGGTGGTGTGCTCCTGTGGTCCCAGCTACTTAGGAGGCTGAGGTAGGAGGATCACTTGAGCCTGGGAGGCTGAGGCTGTGGTGAGCCGTGATTGTGCCACTGCTCTGCAGCCTGGGTGACAGAGCAAGACCCTGTCTCAAAAAAACACAAAAAACTATAAAGAACAAATAATTATTGAATACTTAGTAGGTGCTTGGGATGTATCGGTGAACAAAATAGACAATAATGCCTGCTTCATGGAGCTTACCTATTAGTAGTGATAAAGAGATAATAAGCAGTGAACATATTAACTAAATTAATCTGTTAAAATATGATCAGCATTATGGGAAAATTAAAAGTAGAACAAGTTAAAGGAGATTGGGAGTAGAAGGTGGGATTGCAGATGTGCTGTAGTTTTATTTTTTTGGTTTTTTTTTTTGAGACAGAGTCTTGCTCTGTTACCAGGCTGGAGTGCAGTGGCACAATATCGGCTCACTGCAACCTCTGCCTCTGGGTTCAGGTGATTCTCCTGCCTCAGCCTCCCAAGTAGTTGAGACTACAGGTGCCCACCACCACACCCGGCTAATTTTTTTTTTTTTTCTTTTTTTCCCGTAGAGACGAGGTTTCACAATATTGCCCAGGCTGTCTCAAACTGCCGAGCTCAGGCACTCCATCCGCCTCAGCCTCCCAAAGTGTTAGGATTACAGGCGTGAGCCCCCGTGCCCAGCCACAGATGGGTTATAGTTTTAAACAGGGTAGTCAGGGTGACCTCATTGAAAAGGTAATATGAGCAAAGACTTGAAGGAGGTAAGGGGATCACCATGTGGGTATCTATAAGAAGAGTGTTAATAGGCAGATGAAACAGCTAGTGCAAAGGTCCTAAGCTGGAAGCATGCTTGGTGTGTTTGAGAAACAGCAAGGAGGCCATTGTGAATGGAGTAGAGTGAGCAGGGGGAAGAGTGCTGGGAAATGAAGTCAGAGAGATAATGGTGACATGATCCTGTAGGGTTAGGGGTGCCATTGTAGGGACTTTGAAATGGAAAGCAGAACAGAGGAGTGACATGAGGTGACTTACATTTAAGAAGGATTACTTGCTGTGTTGGTAGAAGAACAAGGGAAGGAGCAGAGAGATCAGTTGGGAGGCTATGCTGCTGCCTAGGCAAGAAATGATGACAGCTTAGGCCAGAGTGGTAGCAGTGAGTTAGTGAGAAAAGATTTATTTCGAAGGTATAGAGTCAGCAGGATTTCTTGATGGACTGGATATGGTAGGGAAGAGAAGAGTTAAGGATGACACATGAATGATTGAGTTTGGAAGTGCCTGAGTTTAGAGTTTGGGAGTAGTTTGGCCCTCATTGTCTTATGCCCCAGCTTTAGGGGGTGGCCAGGACCAGAACCAGAATAATGAGTGGACTAGTCATGTCTTGTAAATGTTTGTGAAGTCATGATTTTCTCCTTTCAGTACAAGAGGAGCTGGTCAACAAAGGGAAAGTTTGGACTTATCAGAAGTGTCTGAAGTAGAGTCTAATTATGGTGCCACTGAAGAGGATTTAAAAACATCTGCATCAAAAACAGAAGAGACCTTGTCAAAAAAGAGAGAGTACCAGTCTTCCTCCTCTGTTTCCTCCACATCTTCTTCCTATTCTTCCTCTTCTGAATCCAGATTTTCTGAAGCTATTGGTGAGCCAAAGAACTATAATAATGAGTTTTTTCCATTTGAATTCAGACTACTCTATAAGACATCTTACTCTTAACAGGAGCTCTCCTACTGTATCTCCTTTCCAATTTTCTGGTCTTAATGACTTTCTTTTTGCTTCTAATTTCCCCTGTCCTCCTTCTTCTCTTTGGGTAAGTGTGGCTGTGGCCCTCTTTGCTCACTGTAAAAAGTGATTTCTTGCTGATGCACCCTTTCCCTCCTTGCTTCCTGTTAACCTCTTCCCACCCCACCTTTCCACCCACACCATAGGATTTACCAGCTTTTACCCAACTTTTACAAACCTAGCCATGTTTTTCTGAAGCATTCCTCCCGACAGGTCATTTGGACTGGGAGACTCTTGTGCATGAAAATCTGCCCGGGCTATTGGAAATGGATCAGGATGACCGTGTTTGGCCCAGAGACTCACTCTTCCGATATTTTGAGTTGCTAGAAAAGCTTCAGTATAACCTAGAGGAGCGTAAGAAGTTACAAGAGTTTGCAGGTATGGAGTTAGGGCAGTCATAGGGACCATGGGAATATATATATAGCGTTTATAACTGTGGAGGAGGAGGAGGTTGTCCGCTATTCTGGCATCTCAGCTTCTAAATTTCTGCCTATACCTAAAATAGGCAAATTCTTGGTTTGGTTTGTCACATTCTGGGCATGTGTCCCACTTTTCCCTAACTGAGAGAGAACCTAGAAACTCTGCTTCTGTAGCACGGGACGCCCAAATCCTATGAGGTATGAGAGCTTATTTCCCAAGAAGAGAAAGTCTAATCCCAGTTGTTGGGAATTAGGACAAGGTAGGCTCTTGCTTGATTTGGGCAGCCCACCGGTTTCTGCACGTTTGTTCTCTCTGAAGATTGCATTTCAGACTTGAGCAGCAGGGCCTAAGGCTCAATCTGGAGAGCTATGGGGATCAGACAATGAGCAGGAGGCCCACAAGTGCTCACTGCCCTAACTCCCTAAAGAAGTTTATGAATTCTAAACTTCTGTTTGTATCTGCCCCTTCTAGTGTCAGCCTCTATAAAGATAAATATGTGATTTAAATAGAAGAGTTTGATGTAAACTGAGCACTATCTTTTCAAAGTTATTTTTCCTAAATTTCATTACTTCATGACTAATTTTGATTAATACAGTTTCCCTCTGAAAGCAAAAAAAAAAAAAAAAGGCTGGGCATGGTGGCTCACACCTGTAATCCTAGCACTTTGGGAGGTTGAGGTGGGCAGATCACGAGTTCAGGAGATCAGGATCATCCTGGTCAACATGGTGAGACCCTGTCTCTACTAAAATACAATAAAGCAGCTGGGCATGGTGGCACATGCCTGTAGTCCTAGCTACTCTGGAGGCTGAGGCAGGAGAATTGCTTGAACCTGGGAGGCAGAGGTTGCAGTGAGCGGAGATCACGCCACTGAACTCCAGCCTGGCAACAGAACGACACTTCATCTCAAAACAAAGCTAAAACAGAAGAGTTAGGGGCGGATTTTTATAATTTAATGTGTGTTATCTGGGTTTTTCCCCTCATACCTAGTTGAAATCAACTCAGTGTGAAAATAAGAAATTAGAGAGGAGGACTGTGTGTTTGTGTGTGGTGGGCACAGGTGGGCAATGAGGAATTTATAACATTGGAACACGGAATTTAGGGCAAGATGTGAAAGACAGGCTTTGCTTACTTCAAAATGTTGCCTAAATTTAATCCTGTTCCTGCTAGTCATTCTTAGCCCTGCCTTCCCACTTATTCTCTAGGGAGGACAGGGTGAAAAGGAGGAAAATGCAGCAAGGTGGTTTCTTTAATCCTGATAAACTTGTCTATGGCAAAGAGTACACAGAATCATAAAGCTTAATTTAAAGATTAGTAAAGACTTGTGGGAACCTAGAACCCAGAAAGGCAAGGTCTTCGCCAAACATTTATGTATGTAGAATATTCTTAGTTCTCCAGCCTGACAATCTGTTTCCTTTGCAGTGCAGGCACTGATGAACTTGGAAGACAAGTAAAGCAATGGATGGCTTCAATATCCTTGGGCCCAGCAAAAGATAATGAAGGGAATTGTTGAAAATAGAGAATTGAAAATATAAATGTCTGTTCAGATAGAACAATGTCTGTTCATTAAAATTAAAAAGTATAAGTGTGTAGGCCAGGCGTGGTGAAACCCCGTCTCTACTAAAAATACAAAAAAAAAAAAAAAAAAATTAGCTGGGTGTGGTGGCGGATGCCTGTAATCCCAGCTATTCGGGAGTGTGAGGCAGGAGAATCACTTGAAGCTGGGAGGCAGAGGTTGCAGTGAGCCAAGATCACACCACTGCACTCCAGCCTAAGCAACAGAGTGAGACTCTGTCTCAAAATACATAAATAAATAAAAGTATAAGTGTCTAATATATACTGCTGATAGCTGCTCAGTAAGATAAGGCATATTGAAAGGCATAAGGTCAAGAAAAAGAGTTAGTTCAAGCTGAGTGTGGTGATGTGTGCTTCTAGTCCCAGCTATGAGCTGAGGCAGGATTGTTTGAGGCCAGGAGGTTGAGGCTGCAGCAAAGTAGGATCATACCACTGCATTCCAGCCTTGGCAACATAGCAAGACCCTGTCTCTAAAAAAGAACAAAACAAGTTAGCTCAGATGCCAGTGGAGACTGTGCTCCTTAGCTTTCTACCCTTTCCACGGCTCCTGAATCCGACTCATTTCTTGACTTTGTCATTATAGCTTCCACCCTTCCTGCAACCTCTGCTGCCTGATTATGGTCCTAATTTTACCCTCTCCCTCCCTGATGCATAGGTAAAGGCCTCTCTGGAGTAAGGAGATCTTCAGAGCTGTTAGTATAACTAATTGAGAAGTATTGTTTCCATTGCCTGTTCTACTCATGTTGCTTCTCTTGTGAACCATTAACTTTAATTGGATATTATTTTTACCTGTTACTGGACCATAAGTCTCTTTATTTCATTTTGCCATTGCTCAGGGCAGTGTAAATCAGTAAGTGTTGTACAGGTTTTTAGTGTTAGAAGGGATTTCAGAGTTAATCTATCTCCCATCAAAGCAGGAACACCTTTTAGAACATCACTGAAAGGAGGATTATCCAGGTAATGCTTAGTGTTTCTAGTTATTTGGGATTTATTATCTAGAAGGGATCCCATTCCATTGTTAGAAGACTTAAGTCTTTAGACATGTTTATGATTAAAAATTACATCACTTATTGAGTGTTTAACTTACATCACTTATTGAGTGTATGAGGATATTTGTATATTTAGTATATATATACTGTATATAGAGTATGTATATTTCATAGAATAATCTTATACGGAAGATAGCCTCCTATTTTTAGAGATCAGAAAACTAAGGCCTAAAGAAATTAAGTAAGTCAAGTAACTTGCCCAAGAGCATATACCAAGTAAGAGGTAGAGCTAAGGTTCTAACTCAGGTTAAAAATTCTGAGTTGAGAAAAAAATCAGTTGAAGCCATTTAAACAACAAAATAGCTTACTGGAGACTGGGAAGTTCAAAGGTAGTATAGCTTCAGGATTGATTTAATGTAAAAATTCACTGTTGTTAGATCTGTGGTTTTGTTTCTCTGGAATTTTGCTATCTGCACTCTCCTCCACGTGTTCTTGTTATTCTCAGACTGGCTTCACTTGGGTAGCCAGATAATTTTCTGAAGTGCCTAGGCTTGCATACCTATTTACCCATATCCAGCGGAAGAGAGCCAGTGACTCTTTTCTCAGTCAATGAACAAAATGTTTGAGCTTTGGGTCACAATCATGGTTATTCTTGGAGTGAAGATACTGATGGGGAGGAAGCATGAAGCCTCTGGAGTGCTGTAGATATGTTCCATATCTTGATCTGCATGGTGGTCACACAGGTATATATAGATGTAAAAATTCAACAAGCTTTACACTTAAAATTTGGGTATTAACTGTATGTAAGTCAATCTCCACTCCTCTACAGACACATCCTGACCACCACTGATTGGACCAAGAAGTTAGATCATATGCTTATGAATTGTTGAGGTAATTCGTAACGAATTGTTGAGGTAATTCGAACGAATTTTTGAGGTAAGGTGAATGTGATGGAATCACTAATTAAGGCTTTCTCCTGAACTGGAGGTAAGGTCAGTAACACCCAACCTGAAGTAAGGGCTGCTACCCAAATGGGGAGGAGATGAAAGGGGCAATAAGGAGGTAATTATAAAGTCCTCACCTAAGAGTGTGTCTGGCAAAAAGGCCCAGATGGAGAGAAGGCAAATGAATTGAATGTCCGGAATAAACAAATCTATGAAGACAGAAAGTAGATTAATGGTTTCTTGGGGGTTGGGGAGGGAGGAATTGAGACTGACAGATGATAGGTATAGGGTTTCTTTGGCAGGTGATGGAAATGTTCTGGAATTCAATAGTCTTGAATAGTTCAACAATATATTTAAAAACACTGAATTGGGCTGTGGGCAGATGGAGTATCACTCTGTCGCCCAAGCTGGAGTGTAGTGGCACAATCTCTGCTCATTGTAACCTCCACCTCCTGGGTTTAAGCGATTCTCGTGCCTCAGCCTCCCAAGTAACTGAGACTACAGTCGCACGCCACCACGCCTGGCTAATTTTTGTATTTTTAGTAGAGACAGGTTTTTGCCATGTTGGCCAGGCTGGTCTTGACCTCCTGGCCTCAAGTAATCCGCCCCTCCTTGGCCTCCCAAAGTGCTGGGATTACAGGTGTGAGCTACTGTGCCCGGCCCCCTCCTGACTTTCTATAGCTGATCTGTGGTCTGTGCATTCTGCATTTTATTCTTTAACTCTTTCTTCAGTGAAAACAATCTGGCTTTAATCCTACAGGAGTGGAAGTTTATTCAACAAATTTGTTGAGTTTGTATGTTCCAAACATTGTTCTAGACACTTGGGATATATCAGTGAATGAACAAAACAGAAATCCCTGTCCATCCTAACTAGTTCCTCATATGATCAAATAATAAAACTTCCATGAAGATAGTAATTTTGTCTCCTCCCCTGTTTTCTGGTTGTTGTTTGTTTGGTTTGGTTTGGTTTTTGAGACAGGGTCTTGCTCTTTCACCCAGGCTGGAGTGCAGTGGTGCAATCATAGCTCACTGCAGCTTTGATCTTCTAGGCTCAAGTGATCCTCCTGCCTCAGGCCCTTAAGTAGTGTGGACTGCAGGTGCATACCACCACACTTGGCTAATTTTTTAAATTTTTTGTAGAGATGGGGGTTTCACTGTGTTGTAATATGTCCAAAACTGAACTTATTCCCACTTCATCAAACCTGTTCTTCCTATTCTAATCTCAAGAACTGCCAAACAATTTCTATGGGCTGGGGAAGTCCTCAAAGATCTCCTTGCTGCTTAACTTTTTCTGTATTTTGTCTGAAGGTCTTTCACTTAAGATGCTATTTCTTGTACCAGTTTTTGTGTTAAGATTCTTTAAGTTGGCCAGGCGTGGTGGTTCACACCTGTAATCCCAGCACTTTGGGAGGCCGAGGTGGGCAGATCACCTGAAGTCAGGAGTTTGAGAGCAGTCTGACCAACATGGCAAAACCC